GTGGTATAGTAGGTCAAAACCTCCTTACTAAGGAGAGGCCTATGTCCAGCAGTGGACTATTACAGGCTGTTGATGATGAAATAAAAAACAATTTATTTCTTAACATATTTTTTAATAATGAAATTATACAGATTTCTGGAATATTATAAAAACATTTTAATACAACAACAAAATAACTATGGTGGGTACACCTTTATGTTCACAGAGTGGGTTAGACGTGGAATTATCACAGCGATGCTAAAACACATCAAGCATATCTAAACATTATATTCTCACTAATATAAAATTAACGGTGAAATTATTTAATCATTGCGTAATGGCATTTCAAGTGAAAATCAAATTCTCAATGAAGCATTTTAATATATAAAGCGCCAAGAATGTGAGACGAGTAGGAACAGTGCTGTTTTGATGTAAATATGGCGAAATCGATTTCGAAGATTTTGTTCATATATTCGAACTAGAGCGTAACTCTTGTCCGAGGACCTATAATCGTAATTGTAGTCCATTTCCGCTAAAATTGTAACAACAAGTCGCTAAGATAGTGTTTTGCTTGTTTTGTATATGTTTATGCGAGAGCCCTGGTTACCCACACCACAATTTTAATCTTACCTAGGGTACCAGAGTTCAATGAAATAATGTGATGGTTATGATACCTAGAAACCTTGTTTACCTTGAATCTAAAATATTTTGGCAAATAAATTATTATTATTTGCTTTAAAAAAATAGTGACGCATCCATCAAGCTCCGCCCCTGACCCATCATAATATCGTTTCGTACGAAAGCTTGGAACCTGACTGTTTAGAGTACGTCACATTTCCTTAACGCAAATGGACTATAGATTTCTCGAAGTTTCCATCAATTGCCAATTCGAGTTGTTGGTACGCGACCCTGACCTTTCTAAGGAGAGGCCTACGTACAGCAATACTAAAGGCTGTTGATGATGATGTCCCTGACCTGCTCAAGCTAATGCTTACATTTCACGGTCTATTTGTATAAGCAATGTCTTTGTTCTACTATTGCCTTTCATTTCGAGATACTCTCAATTTTCTTATCTAATCTTTAAAGTACCCGGATAACGACAATAGGCTTGTCCCTTAAGTGGGAATAATTTTAAATGGAATGATTAGGTAAAATAATAATAATATAATATTATGGTAATATTGGTATTTGATAGAGGCGTATTAATCAGTGCGATAAATACGCCTCTACCTACCCTTTCGTAACAGGGTATTGCAATCGATCAGGGTTGAATCTTTCTTTGCCGATTCGAATCGATTCAGATCGACCATTCTAAACGAGATAATATCGATGAGCAACTACCGAGTAATTTTGCTTTTGTTCGCTAGATGGCGTTGAGTATCTTTATCTGAATGGCACCACGAACTTTTCGAGTCTCGTTTTTATAAACACGACGTATACATAATGTAGTTCATTAATTTAAGCCAAGGTTTGGATAATATTTTATTGTTCCTACTGAACCATGTTATTCGCGTATGTTATTGAGAATAATATATTATATAGATTGTCCGTTTATTAACATTGTCACATTGTAAACAAAAATTGCTTTAAGATTACATATATATAAATTAAAATACATATACAAAAATACAAACACAAAATTAGTTTCTATAATGTTCTGTTGATTACAAAAACGGAATAACAAAACAAGGCGATATTGTATAAGCGCAAAATTCACACATTTACGAATATAATATTTAAATAGATAAAGAAATTCTTTGTTCTGATTCTCAACTTATTTTTATTTCACCGGAGTCATGCTTCGGCACAATGTGTTATCAGCTCGACCGGAGTGATACCACAGTATCACAGAAAACTATTTTGAAATTAAGGTTTTCGTTTCTTTTTTCACCGAATGAGGATACCGGTCACAATCACAATCACAGTTCACTGTGATTTCGTCCAGTGAACTGTGATTTTTCGTACGTAGGTTAGGGTTGCTACTTACGTGTTGTTGCCAATAAGCTGTTTTCAGACGCTATTACCTGCCTGTTGGTCTAGTGGTTAGTGACCCTGACTGCTAAGCCGGAGGTCGTGGTTTCGATTCCCATTCAGGACAAATAATTGTGAGCACGATCATTTGTTCTGTGTATGGGTGTAATTTATCTATATTATGTATGTATTTAAAATATATACGTATGTTTATCTGCAGTCTGGTTACCATAGTACAGGCTCCGCCTAGTTTGGGATCAGACGGCCGTGTGTGAGATGTGTGAAATTATTATTATTATTACCAGTAAATCTAGTATTTTTTTTATTTTGTTATTATTTAGGGAATGGTAGCTATATATAAAAAAATAATTACTAGATTTACTGTCTAAAGTAGGCGAAATAGGATCTTTATGCATCGTCTGAAAACAGATTATTGTCAACAAAGCTTGAGGAAGTAGCAACCCTAACCTACGTACGAAAAGAACGACTGATAAATCACAGTTCACCGTGATTTTGTCCCATGTCCAGTACCGGAGGCTCGCCCTTTAGCCCAAATTCTGGGAGGAGGTGTTCAAAGGACGACTACGCGATTATATGTATTGAGTTGCAGATGTTCAAACAGATGTAATTCAACCACCATCGTATCCAAATACTTATACATGTCTCACTTTATAAAGTTACAATATTAAAAACTTTTATTTATCTAATCATTTAATAACAATTTATAACAGATAACTGTGATTTTATTATAAATATACATGTGTTATTTATTGTGATGTGCAAAACGGTGTTTATATTCTAAGCAAATAAACTTTTCTTTGGGGCTCGGACTTTTCTTCAACGACTCAAGGTACGTGACCTTGACTGGCTCGAGTTATAGCTTTTACTCTCCAATCTATCTTTATAAGCGATATATTTTATTGTCCCTTTCCTTTCATTATTCAACATGTTTTCTCATCTAAAGTACCGAAATTAGATTCGCCCTTAATACGTGAGCATGACTAAACTATAGTTTTAATCCCGCTTACGAATACGTGAGCGGGACTAAACTATAGTTTTAATCCCGCTTACGAATACGTGAGCGGGACTAAACTATAGTTTTAATCCCGCTTACGTATTAGAGGCGAATATGTGCGCATCAATACGCCCCTATCAACTCCTTCTGGGATAAACGAGTGGGCATATATATTTTATTTAAATCTAACATTTAAATATAATATACTAAAAATATACTCCATAAGAGTGGGAATGTAAGATGTGTCGTGAGTGAGATTATTCACGGAGTACAAAAATAGAAAATGTATTCTAATTTATATGTACAGCAGGTACGTTCAAGTACGCGTTTGTTCTTGTACCTACAGAACCAATTATTTATACGGAACCTTATGCAAGTATTAAACCGGAATCGTGATATCTAAATTCTAAAACTCTATCTCTGTCTAGCGTCTGGTATGGCAATATTATCTGAAGGTACGTGTAATAATGGAGAGTGAGACAGCGGTGATTCTATGTATATATATTATTCGTAGTGTAGACCACTGTTGTTATGATTGACATTTTCTTTTCATTAATAGGAGAGGGTAGCCATCTGCATTCTTTAAATTCGTAATTTTCGTAATAAATAACCTAAGTACTATGTAAACTTTGTAATAGTTTACAAAATAAGTACTTTGTAATAGTTTACAAAGTACTGATGTTAATAAATGAAATGTTAACATATCTTAATATCTATTAACTGGTAATTAAATATGGCCAAATTAGAGGTCTCAGACTTTTCGGAAACAGACAGTTCGACTTACAGGTATTTAGACCTGACCTGCTCGAGTAATATAATGCATCCGAATTTATATATCCCTCCCTTTTCTAATTCTTAAAGTGCCTGATAGACGGTAGATAGGTTGGCTTGTCTCTAATAAGTGAGTGGGACTAAAATTAATCACAGCCGGCAAAATATGGGCGGTACAATACCCCTATCTAACCCCTAGGCTATATAGACGTGTATGGAAGCAATTAATGTTATATATTCAGTAACTAAGGTAGCAAACTATGCAGGACAACAAAACTGCAAAGAGAAGGAAAACTTGACACAAACCCTTTTTTTTTTTTTTTTTTTTTAACGTGTGGAAATCCCCTCGGACCGTCACCCCTCCGGGGTTTGCGGCGGGGTGGTGTGTCGGACTCGGACCGACTAAAACCACACGGTGTGCCACTCTGCGCCTGTAACAGGAGGGATCCGGGAACAGCTGTTGTTAAGACATCCGGACCCCTCCTAGCGCCAGCCCGCTCCTGGTGCGGGCTCCGTCTCAATACATTTTCCTCTCTTTAGGCGACGTCCGGCACACGCGGGCGCCGCCCCCTCGCGGCTGGCCAACTAATGCGGGTGGAGGGGAAACCCACCCCGTCCACCCGCGGCCACACTCAGGGCGGCATGAGGCTGTGATAGCCGGGCCTCCGCCGCCCGGTTCGCCGGCGACGGATCGGGTCCGAGTGGAGGTCGTCCTCCCGGGCCCTCTCCGCCGCCTCCTTCCGCGAGATTACTATCTCGCAGAAGGTTGCGACCGCGGTAAAACAACTGTCGCTACCGGCCATGGAGCGTACTACGGCCGGTAGCGAGAGATCCACTCCGATGACTGCAGTGAGGGCCCGGCGCTGCGCCGCCCATGCGGGGCAGACCGCCAGCGTGTGCTGGGCCGAGTCCTCACTGCAGTCGCAGTGGTGGCAGGTACCTATTTATCCGGTAGGTGTCGTAAAAGTCGACTAAGGGAGAAAACTACGCAAGACAACAGCACTACAAAGAGAAGGAAAACTTGAAACAAACCCTATACCAACCCGTCTGGCCAGAGTGGTATAGTAGGTCAAAACCTTCTTCCTAAGGAGAGGACAGTGGAGCAGTTTAGCAGTGGACTATTAAAGGCTGTTGATGATGATGATTCTATAATTTGTTCTGCTTTGCCTTTGGACTTCACTACAACTACAGAAATCACAAAAACTATTTTTAAAACTTGCATTAGATTCCGTGCCATTGCATTAGAGATGTGACTAGAAACAAATTATATTTCGGTGTAATAGGTCGGCCTGTCGATTTTCAACAACGCGAACACGTTTGGGAATACGTAAGTCGTATTGAACCCTATCATAGCACACGTGAAGTACTTGTAACTGAGCTCCACAATAATTTTATTCTTATTGTCTAAACTGTTCTCTGAATTTCGTAGTTCATTCTTGTCTTTACCTAGTAGAGCGCACACGAAGGCGTAGGAAACAGACTTGCCAAAGGCTCTCGTTGCCAGCACCCCACAAAAGCCCAATATGGTCCGGAGTATCGTGCATCCCAACATCTCTTTGGAAGGCCAGATGATTTCGTAGGGTGGGTCAAGTTCGCTGGCCACCATGTTACCGAGTTGATAGTTGGTCCAGGAGCCGGTGAGGATTCCCGCGCAGACGCTCACTATCATTGTCGTGTCGCCTCTGGAGAAAAAAGTTGATTATTTAATCACTTATAAAGTAATGGTGAAGGAGTTATATCATAGACTTTAGTGATTTGATTAATATTTTCAGAAGCCTCTTAGGGCCATCACCTTATCAGAGTTAGGGTTGAAGCAAAGTGTGGGATTTGTTTATGCATTTAATAATAAACCAGATCATACAATAAAGGTTCCTAGAAACGTATGCTGTAATAGTTTAATACAAAAACTGCAATTTATAGCGTCTGTAGTACTCTTTATTTGTACATCGTTTTACAAGTAATATGGTACATAAAAATATCAGACATGTAATGTACAAAGGGCGGCCTTATTGCTAAGAGCAATCTCTTCCAGACAACCTTAGGATGGATTACAATGTTTTGGCGAGACAGTAGTAGTTGAAGGTGCAATAATTTGGACAGGTTAATTACTAGGTAAAATTAATTAATTTTTACACAGTAAATACATATACAATATACATACATATACACATATACAAAGGTTGTTATACCATTTTCATTATTTCAAAAAAAAAATGTCAAAAAAAAAAATTAGGGGTATGAAAAATAGATGTTGGCCGATTCTCAGACCTACCCGATATGCACACAAAATTTCACTAAAATCGGTCGAGCCGTTTCGGAAGAGTTCAACTACGCACACGAGATACGAGAATTTTATATTATATTAGATATAATATAAATAATTTTATATTAGATATATACTAGCTGACCCGGCAAACGTTGTATTGCAAAACAAAAAAGAATTAGGGATGGGTCACCCTTACCATTTAGGGGTATGAAAAATAGATGTTGGCCGATTCACAGACCTACCCGATGTGCACACAAAATTTCATGAGAATCGGTCAAGCCGTTTCGGAGGAGTACGGGAACGAACATTGTGACACGAGAATTTTATATATAAGATTTACTAGCTAACCCGGCAAACGTTGTTTTGCCATACACATTAATTCAAAAAATTCTAGGATGACCTCAGACATTTTTCATGTGTGTCATTAAGGAACTTGAACCGTTCTTTGAGGTAGAAGGGGGTTTTGGGATTGAACAAGATGTTATAGATAAAAGTGAGGATATGAGTATTCCGGCGAGAGCGAATCGGAAGCCACTTGAGCTTTTGACGGAATTCAGAAACGTGATCATATTTTCTTAACCCAAACACAAATCGTATGCAGAGATTTTGAAGTCGCTGAAGCTTATCAAGTTGTGCTTCAGTGAGATTCAGATAGCTGACATCGGCATAGTCGGGAATTGGGAGAAGTGCTTGTGCAAGTGCAGCCTTAGTTGCAGTTGGGCGAGTTTCGTAGTCTTCGCAGGGACCCGTCAGAAGCAAATAACTTGACTTGACTTCTTGTATATGTCCCGCAAGATAAAGTGTTATCTTTATAGATATCTACATTTTTGACACTAGTACTGACCTCAAGTGTGGTGCCATCGAATGGAATTAAGGGCAGTTGTGTCCAGTTAATTCTTAAGACCAGCCCAGGGCTACCAATTACACATACCTGCGTCTTTCCAGAATTAACTATGAGTCCATAATTATGACTCCATTCGCCAATGCACGATAGGTCAGCATTGATTTTGTTGAATGCCTCCGATAACAGGTTAAGCGGAGCTTGTGTATATATTTGTAAATCATCTGAATAAAGATCAAGAATCTAGAACGAACTTAATTGATTAGAGATGGAGTTTGTAAAAACTGCGAAGAAAAAAGGTGATAACACGCCTCCCTGTGGTACACCAGCAGTAATACTGCACCAGGAAGACACCGAGTGTTCAATTCAAAGACGCTGCTGGCGACCAGACAGGTAACTATGAAACCAATCAATTGTGGAGAATTGCGCAGTATACCAAGCGGAAGGTGTAAATCCACAGTATTAAAAGCGTTGCTAAAATCAAGTAATGTGAGTACCGTAATCTTTCCACTATTAATGCCTAGTCTGATACTATCTGTAATGTGAACTTACCACAACGTTGTGTATTAAACTGCGTATACAATACTTCAGTATGGTATACGTACTCTGGTCGGTACGTATACGTACGCACTTTAACGAGTAATAAGGGGAGGGTTAGCTACGTATTTCAAAAACAACTAACTTTTTTGTCTTTCCAAAATTTCTTTTTTAGTTTTCAACTAGACCAAAATATGCATTCAAGCATAGTTTATTTATAGTCATGTTAAGCGCGGTTCATCAAGACATCTATCGCACCTTTATTCATAAACTGAATTAACTTAGAATTTCAATATTGTGGGAAATCGCATTTAAAGTTTGACATTTGTACGTGCGAGTTCGTCAAATAGAGAACGACGATCTCCTTATCTCTGCCATTTTCATTGTATCGAGTCGGCTGTTGGATTGTTCGTGTTCTACTGATGAAGTTGATTTGGTATTTGTTGAAAACTCGAAAAACGTAAATTTTGAATTAATTCAGTTTATTATTAAAGGTGCGCTATGATGTATGTATATTATCGAAGTTAGCGACATTGTTGTGTTACGTCAACAATGGTCTAGGTAGGGTTCGATTCGAAAACGTCTGCAAACCGCAAAAATGTGGCTCCACCAATTTCGATAAAATTTGGTATGGAGGTGGCTGACACTTTGGATATTTATCGCGAAAAGTAGTGCTCGTAGCTTAGTGTTCCCGTGGGATGAGCAAAAATTGCGCGGGTAACAACGCGACTAGTCTTAACATGATGATGTACTGATGATGAAAAGTGGTAGTTTACCTTGTAGGCGTCCACTTGTCAGCGTGGGGGTGATACACGATGACTAGAATAGAAAGTGTGATGATGAACACCGGAGCAAAGTGTGACGTCAGCAGTACTCCGTCCAGTGAATCCACTATTGGAATCAGGATGGAGACGAGCCCCGTCGCCAAGAGCAGACCTGCTGCTATATCCTGCAACGAGCATTATAAGCAATGAAGTAACGACTCTTTGCTAAACACAATAAAATACAGAATGGGTCAAGCGGCTATTGGAATTGGAATTATTTTGCTTTGTGAGTGGAGAGGAGTGCGGCAGTTTCTGGGGCGCCAAAACCGTAATATAGTATGATAAAAAATGCTCATCTAAGCGCCTAGCATACGGTAGCATACGGAACTTGGCTCACCGTCGACTTCTAAGAAAAAGGCGCCACGCTACAAGTGAACTTATATTTTTGTGAGTTTTTTAAGTAATTTATCTCAAACGCTGGAGAGAGGGGCGCAAGTTTCTGCCCCGGCTCGAAAAAATCGTAGATCTGGGGCTGTTTGGACCTTCTCACTCACTCGGTTAAAAGCATCGAAAAAATTGCCTAACACCGGTTTTCTGTGAGGCCGTGGTATCACTCCGGTTGAACCGGCCCATTTGTAGGAGCATAGCTTTCCTAGGATAAATTTATGACTATCAATAAAAAATGAATTATTGAATATTTGGTGTATATAATTTTGGTATATATACATCTTATATATTTATTTATATTTTCAGACATCTGACACATAACACCATTTAGTTTCAAACTAAGCACAGCTTGTACTAAGAAAACTAGCTGATTGATAGAATACCTATGTACTTTTTTTTTAAATACATTCACATTTTACATAGAAAACATCCGAAACAAATATTTGCAGATTATACAAACATTTGGTCCCACTCGGGCATCGGACCCGAGACCTCAGCAAAGCAGTCGCATACGTTACCACTGCACCACTAAGGCAGTCATCTGCTGTATATTTACTTTCAATTATATATCTATCTATATATCTATCAAGCTAGTAACAGCTACATAAAAATGTGTCATTTAGATTAAGTCACAAAAATATATCTTCATCATCAACAGCCTGTATTAGTCCACTGCTGGACATGGGCCTCTCCTTAGAAAGGAGGTTTGGCCTACTACACCACCCTGGCCAGACGGGTTGGTATAGGGTTTGTTTCAAGTTTTTCTTCTCTATGCAGTGCTGTTGTCCTGGGTAGTTTGCTCCCTTATTCGGCTCTTACGACACCCATGAGAAGAACAGGGGCGGTGACACTCCATATTCCTCACGTCACCATTCGGATATAGAAATATATAAGGAACATTAAATATTAAACCGTCACAAAACCGATATCTAAAGATTATCGAATGACCACAGAACAAAATAATTACTTTAATTTAATTTTGTAAACTAAATGACACAAGAATAGAATATTCTAGGGCTAATTTGCAAACATGGCATGCATACGCGTGTTGAACGTCAAAACGTTGAACTTATAGAAACAGGAAAGACAATAATAAAACTGTTTAACGATAGGCGACAAAGTAATCACATTAATGAGTAGTGACGACCAGTACCTAACAAACTAACAATATATAATGTATTAGCTCTGAATAGGTATATAGATTACCATATTATATATATGCACTTAAAACGAATAGCTAAATCAAAGTAAAACTGCTAAAAATACTTTGAATAGCATTATAATAATAATATTCTACCATATTCACACGACGTCATCTAGTCCCAAACTAAGCAGAGCTTGTACTATCTACTTTTTTTTATAAATACATACATATTATACATAGAAACACCTAGACCAAATCAAACATTAAAAGTTCATGCACGCATGTTTGACTTGAGCGGGAATCGAACCCGCGACCTTTAGAATAGCAGTCCGTTACACAAACCACTTCGCCATCTGGTCGTTTATTATTAGTGATTCTTTAAGAATGTAATGGGGCCTGGAGGATATATATATATATATTAAATTCAGCTAAGAAGTGTAGGATGCAGTAACTGCGTTTGTAAGGCTTGATAAATGATCAAGGCCGTCTTGGACCATGTCGGGGTCCTCGGGTACACAATAATTTGGGGCCCCGTTGGACAAATACACTCATCAAAAAAAGTCTAATCGACATGTACGGTTTTGAACTTTTACTAATGTACAATTTTTACTAATGTGTTCTTTTTATAAATAATGAATAAGCATTCCTTGATGCATTAGTGACTAAAGCAACAAAAAATGTTTTAATTATTTGGTAATTCAATACAAAATTATCGATCTATTTGTATTTATATATTTATCATTAATTTAATATATGTAATATTCGGAATTTTCAAATTTATTTTCTGTTTTACATACTTAATTGCTAGTTTATGCCCACTTCTTAGATATTCCTAGAACGGTACCTACTTGCGCCAAGTTAAAAAACTTACTAGGTAGTTTTTAGGTTTCTCTCATAGCTTTTTTGTTGTCGCATTATATCGATCTAAAATAGAAAAAAAATGTATTGTATATTCGCTTTTCGGGCCCTGGGCACGCGCCCCGTGTGCCCTTATGGTAAAGACAGTACTGTAAATTATGCCCTAAGGAGAGACTGGTCTCTTAGTCTTGCCGGAACCGGAGGTCGTGGGTTCGATGCCCACCCAAGACAAGTAACTGTGTAATGAGGACGATTATTTGTTATCTATGTCACGGTATCTGGGTGTATTTTTATCTATAATATGTATGTATTTAGTAATATTTAAGTGTGTTTTTCAGCAGTCTGGTTATTATAGCACAGGCTCTGCCTAATTTGGCATCAGACTGCCTGTGTATGAGTTTTGTTGTTATTATTATTCCTAATAGGATAGAAAAAAAAACTAAATTGCCTAAGGCAATTCTTTATTTTTAGTTCTTTAGTAAAAAAAGGACAGTTTAGTAACGTGATTTATTTCTGTAATATCTTCAAATTCACGATTGTATTTCAACCTATTGTACTACCCAGGAAACTTTAAGACTATTTAGTTTTTGATGGTTTTTTTTACTTTGAATGTGAATCATTTGAATGTACATGCTCGGAACCAATATTGATTTGACATTTCCAAGATCAACATTTTTAAAACTATTTTTAAATTAGTTCAGTTATTTGTTTCTAAATTCTGTTGAACTCGTTTTTACGTTTCATAACTTTATAAAATACAGCAGACCAGTGCTGAATTTCCATAATCCTTCGCAAGGCCGTGGTCACAGCCTGTGATCCGTTCATTTTCGCATATGAACATAATTAAGTACTGCAGGTTTAAATCTATGCATTAAATATCATTTTGACCAAGGTCTTAACAAAAGTACAATGTTCTTTTTGCTTCTGTGATATAGGAGAGATCTGAGACGGATTAGGAGGAACTGAGATAGATTTTTGAACCTATTCCAAATACATGTAATATCTTACCAAAACACTATGCATGCCCAAATAGATCCTGCTCACACAGATGAGGGTGCACCACGATACAGCTATCATCAGGCCCCAGTGCACTGGATACTGGTACCTGTCCATAGTGTACAGGAGTACAGAGAACGGTATGCACACCCCAACCATGGCGTGGGTTGAGGGCATACCGTATTCAACTGCCCATTTTGTTTGCAGCTTCTTGACGGGGTAGCCGGGCCGCGGCCAGCGGATTATGTCTTTAAAGCCTTGACCTGGAAATAGATTTTAAGAAATGTTTTAGTGTTTCTTTACACTAACAATGAGTGAGAATTTTGTCTGTCATATAACTAGCAAATTTTAATCACAATCGGCAAGGCCCTTTGCCTAAAAACTTTAAAACCGGTTGACGATGTAGGTACCAAAGTATATGTATATATTTACAAGCTAATGTTACAACATCACGCAATACAAGGTTGGGATTGTGAAGTGACTTAAAACTCATATCTAAGACTTTAAACTGATGCTAAACCATTTCTATCATTTCCCGAACTAAATACAAAAATACTGGCCTGTTGGTCGAGTGGTTAGTGACCCTGTCTGCTACTCCAGAGGTCGTGGGACAAATAATTGTGTGATGAGCACGGTCATTTGTTCTGTGTCTGGGTGTAATTTATCTATAATATGTATGTATTTAGAAATGTATAAGTATGATTATCAGCAGTCTGGTTACCATAGTACAGGCTCCGCCTAGTTTGGGATCAGACGGTCGTGAGATGTGTGAAAATATTATTAAAAATATTATTATTATTCCTATGATGTAATAGTTTACTATCTAGTTTTACAAAGTACTTGACTAAGGTCTGCCGGCTACACCATGCAGTACATACACTGTTGCCTTTGGAACGTCTGGAACGAAGTTTTTATGAAAACAGTAAAAGCAATAACTTTGTACTCTAGTAAATAACGTTATTCCATCTGGTAATGAAAAGTTCTAAGACGTCCAGAAACGCCATCATTTACAAACCAACAGTGCTTGCGAGCTTACGCGTGACAGATACGAGCTTCTGGAAATAATTACGATGGAAAAAGTTGCCGAAATAAACAACCTGATCGTAAATAAGTCATGATAGCGAAATAAATGAATGGAAGGGTATAAGAAGTTAGGTAGATATTATTCATTTTGGTAAATAAAAATCCCAATATGCAGTCTGGCTTTCAGGTTGAGGATAGGGAGAGGTAGTGTCTAAAGCATTACTAAAAGTTAACCTGCCACTCGATAGATGGCGCTTTCTCGGTTATCTGAGTCGCGCAATAGTTTGGTTATCAAGGCAGGTAAATATACTTAGCGATGTAAAATAGTTTTGTCGGCATTTGGAGTTGTAAATTTAATTTCGTTGAGTGAATACTTGAAGTTCAACTGCATTTGACGACTGGATGGCGTAGTGGTTTGTGTAACGGACTGCTATTCCAAAGGTCGCGGGTTCGATTCCCGCTCAAGTCAAACATTTGTGTGCATGAACATTTGATGTTTGATTTGGTCTGGGTGTTTCTATGTATAATATGTATGTATTTACAAAAAAAAAAGTATATATGTATTTATATCAGTTGTCTAGTACCCATAGTACAAGCTCTGCTTAGTTTGGGACTAGATGGCGTTGTGTGTATGTGGTAGAATATATTATTATTATTATTTTATTATTATTATTTGGTTGTTTAACAAAGCGCCGGTATTCCGATTAAAACGTGTTCAGGTAGCCAAAAAGAGGAATTGACCTAGAGGCACCTACTTAAGAAGCATAATTATACAAACGCAACAAAGTTATCAAATTGGAGTTATCAGATTTTAATAGTAAATTTTATTAGTCAGCGATAACGTATAAAGACAAGCCAGTAGAGTGATTCAAAACTTTATCTTTCTGACGTTCGACAGATACGTTGAGATTATAAGATTAATCTTTTTACAGCATCAATAAATGATAGTTGATGCTACCGATGCCATCGAACTTATCTACATCAACTGACATTGTAACGTTGTTGGTCAGAATTAAATGATAGTATTCGTCCTAGATCTACCTATTTTAGCAGGGTTTTAATTGTACCGTTTATGTACCTAAACATTAACTGCGACGCCGCAATGTTATCAGTTACACTAAAACATGCAAGCAGCCTATGTGTTAGTGTGTTGTGTATAGTTGTTTTGTCTGTCTGTCTCTCTACCTCCATTCCAAATTTTATCAAACTTAGTCCAGCCGTTTGAGCGTGAAGAAATAAGAAACATACAAACACTCACACACTCACAAACTTCCAACTTTATAATATTAGTGTGATTAATGATCTAAATCTTTTTAAAAGTCAGGTTTTCAAAAACACTTTTTACACATAACAAAGTTTTGAATCGGAAGGAAAAGGGCTAAAATATGACAGAGCGATAACGCACGCACCTGCTTATTTCTTTAAATTGATCTAAAACAATTAATTACAAATTAAGTACAAAGTTTTAATTTCGTTAAATAGATATCTGTAGGTGGAATATATATATCCGGCAGGTAATTAATGTAAGTAGATTGGTATGCGACTCTCACGACTTATTGTTAAGAGTTAGAGTTAGCGATTATTTGGTATAAAACTAACCATTCCTTAATACATAATACTCAGTCGTTGAGGGCCTGATAAGGTAGACAAAAGTATTATATGTTATATTTATAATTTGTAATACTTCTGATGATATTATCTGAATCCGAAATTGTCTTGTGAACATTTAGTGTAGATAGAATTAACACGATATTAACATAGATCATATTTTATAGAACAATACTATCATTAGCATTTTTTTCTTGCGGTTAGGTTCTGTCGAGGTGGTGTTGCCAATGTTTTAGGCTATTTATATCTCACTAATAAACAAAGGGTGCACGTATGAAACAGCACTTCTTGCCGATTCAATTCAATTCGTTTATCCGATCACATGCATGTGCTTATGAGAATTAATTATTCAAGCACCAGAACATCTGTATTAAAATAAACACTATAATTAAAAACTAATCTTTGCAATGGAAACATTGATAAGTTGAACTGTATGGACATCAACCCAGGCAAGGAGTTCTTGATGTTAACGGTAAATCAATGAGATAAGTATTAGCCATATCTAAATACAGATTAGATTAAAAGGTATTTAGTCTTCAAACAAACAAAGGTTTAACTATATACTTAAGACATGCGTATACATTTTAATGTAATTGTAAAAAAAAAAAGTAATTTACTATGTCAACATCTTATGCTTCTCGAAGGACTTTCTTCCTAAGGTACACTTGAGGCCCTTGCAAAAGACTCACATTTGACAGAACACCATGTGGTTTTAATTGGTTTTGTTGCAACGTACAACTTCCACATGCTAATTATTTCAAAAATTGTGTTATTTTAAGTCACAAACGTTGGATATTATGTTTTGCATTAAATAAATAATATAATTAAAATATGAGCAGGCCTTCTTTATTGTTTCAAAACTTAAAAATAGTTGTGTGTTTCTTCTATTTTCACCATTTGTTTAAAATATTTCAATTGACTTGGGGAGTAAGCTGGTGAATGCGTAAGAAGAGTGTTGCAATAAGTGTGATTGTGCGAGGCGAACATAAGTTGAGAGGGAGATATAGGTTAGTGAAGATAAAAAGAGAGAGAGTTACGTTTCGTATATTACTGTAGGTGCAAGAGAGAGAGGTGCGAGCACACATTTTCTTTTTCTCATTTCTCTTTCTTACACTCGCTCACTCTTTTTTTTAAATTTATGCAAAGTAGACCCTAACTAAATTTTTAAAATACAAGAAAATATTCTACGTCTTAATGGTAGAAAATTTAAAGTTATACATTTTTATCATAATTAAGGAGACTTAGTTTTGAAAACAGTAAACAACACTTTAAAATATTATTATCTCTTTTTGTCATTCTTATTATTGTCTACACTCATCATTTCTTATTATTGTTTACACTAAGACAGCAAACATTTTACAGTTTTTAAAGGTATGTTATTATTAATCTTTAGGGTTAAAAAAACTAATATTTTTTTACCTATATACATGACAACAGTCCATACGAGCACAACTCTTCGGCCGACAGCTCCGTCAATATTCCAAAACCAAAAAGGAATAAACGTCGCATAAAAGATCTCATCACCCAACTCCGTGCCGATCACGAACAACCAGTACCAGAACTTGTTATTTATCGAACATTCCACTCCATATTTTTCACCACTGTCTGCTGAAGTATCTGTATCGCAAGACGACTGAGAACTGCTTGAAATATTACTAGGTATTCTCTTATGTTGCTTCAAGTCGTACTCTTCGTTCAAGAGCTCCAGTCTCTCGGAATGTAACACCTTTGAGGATTCATTTTGCGTACTCTGACTACTTTTGTATGTAACTCCGAAAAAGTTTTGAACTTTAACCACTAGGAATGGATCCTTCAAATATTCTATTATCTGATCCCACATTGTCGCATACAAGATACACTATTCTAAATATAAACTAAAAATATTCTGCACACAGGTTTTACTGAAGTCTCGAGTTTTTATGAATGTACAATGAACATTCCAAGGAAATCAAATCTGGACAACTGATCAATGTTGCCAGATTTGGGTAATTAAACGTACAATAAAGATGATCATATGGGTAGTTCGAAGCAGTCCATAATAAATAAATAAATATTTAGGACATCTTACATACAACGCCAACTAATTTCAAAGTTAGCAGAACTTGTACTATGAAAGCTATATTGACTGATAGAATACTTACATCCTTTTTTTTGTAAATACATACAAATTATACATAGAAAACATCCAAAATCAGAAAAAAATATTTGCAGATTATACAAATATTTGGTCCAACAAGGGAATCGAACCAGAGACCTCAGCACAGCAGTCGCAAACGCTAAATACTGCACCTAAGAGGCAGTCACTAAAAATTAATGTTCTAGATTTTGATTTGACAAATTGTTAATTTGGTAAACTAATAAATTTATTGTACTTAAAGCAATAATTTAAACAATCAACCACTAAACTTTTCATCAAGTTTTATTTACATCAAGACAAGAAAAGTCTGCCCAAGGCGCGGAAAAGCGCTGTATGTAGCAACACCACATCTGACAGACCTTGGTATATTTGACATTAATCATCTGATAAAAACTTTTTTTTTGTACATACTTTTTATAGGTCGTTGGATTTCAATCTCATCAAGGTTCTATATCTTTCAAACACGGTTAAGATCTAACTTGTAACTAACTTTCTCTTTATCATTTTCTTCAGAGTATTTTTCTATTTTACCACTATGACTACTACTTTTAAATCATGATATTTAAGAATTAGTAAAGTTGTAAAATACAGCTTTTTAAATATTTTATTATTTAAATGTTTCAAATTCAATCTCACAATAAATGTTATGGTCAAGTTCCTTAACTTGACAATTATTACATGTCAACTTCTATTTATGTTCCAAATTGTTCTTGAGTCAAAATAATTTTTATGGCTTTTATTTACCAACATTTATAATAATCTTAAAAAAGAACCGCATTGTAAAGTTAAAGACACTTGAACAAAGAAATGTGCATACTTTTTAATAAACTCCAAAACCAGGGTATCCCTAAAAGTGTCAAAGTTGTCAAAAAGTTCATCAGTTGAGGTTGTTTGACCCACACAAAAATATTTGTGCGAAGTTAAATTGTTTATATATTACAGTTCCCAAATTTGTGTTATTTAAACCTTTCTAGGTTTGGAATTTTGCTAGTGCCTATTAAATTGATGTAAGTGCTTTATTACATTATCACTCGTTTACTTTATTTAACCATTTATATTTTATTATTTAAAAAAATGATAATTTATAGTTGATATTTTAATCATACTGATTACAATTACGGTCAGGAGTCGTATTGGAAATTTAATTTAACTGTTAAAAGCTGTTAAAATGACGAAATATAACTGCAAAATAGAGTTATTATTACTATATTTCCTTAAGTTAATTTTTAAAAGAATAACACAATTATATTTAAATTTTTGATTGTATTTTGAAGTTTTAAATTTATTTATGCACTTATCTACTCTGTATTGGTTAGGAAATAAACAACGGAAAGTGTAGGTATCAGTAGGTATTATTATGAATGTGTGTTTGAATGTTAATCATTTAACAAATATAATTAGATCAATTCTAAATATTCTTAACACTTATCTAAACAGCATTCTATAAACACTTTCTATTGTCTTTGGGAGCTGCTACAGTATATGTTTTATGTTTGTTAATGATTTTGTTAGTGATTTTATAATATTTCTTAGATTATTAATAAACTTTGTTAACCCTCACTGGTGAACACACTTTGGTATTAATAATTATTAATTAATCATTTACGAGTATTCTTATTCATAATTCATGAAAACCACACACAAACTCATGCCTTAATCTTCTCAGTTTTACTTGGAAACAGATAATATTATTTTCTATCTTTTTCATGTGGAAACTTTTAATAATAAATTTAACTTATTAGTAATAATTATATAATTATCAGAGTATTACAATATGTAACAATTTGTCCATTTGTCTATTAGTTTTAAAAATTCAGATCATAATTATGCTGACTTGCATATGTTAATGCAAATATTAATCTATAAAACTTAAATTGTTTATGTGTTGCATGCCATTACCATCCCCGTTGCCATGATGATTTCATCACAGTTAAAAAAAAAAATTGTACACAAACCTTACTCGTGAATCTCTTAATCTGTTGTCAAAAATCGGTTTGTTACTTTTAAAATGTGGTGTTATGCCCTATCCTTCTTGATGTTTTGAAACTAATATCTTGGTGTTGACCTATTGTCGTTTAAAAAACAAAAATTAAGTTGATTACTTTTTAAACTGAAGCTATGCACCATTGTTTTTTTATTATGCCTATTTTTTTCTGTGCCTAATTCCCCTTGGATACCCACCAGTGGGTGATTATGTCGGACTCGAACCGACCAAAAACCGCACGCCGTCTCCAGGTACCAGTAGCCGGGGAACCAAGTATACCCTAGAAAGGGAAGCCCTGGTAACCTGACGTACCTCGGGCCATCTTCACATATACTACATCATCATATAGATGACCCCTCCTGTGTATGAACACGGATGTTTCCTTCCTGTCCCTGCGCTTATGGAGAACGGAGGTCGTTCTGCGCCGGGCCACCCATGCTGGGCATTATGCCAGCGTGTAGAGCGCCGTGTCCACGGTCTGGCCATCGCAGTGGTGGCAATCAGGCGTTGGCTCCTTGCGGATCAGATACAGGTGATCTCCGAAGCATCCTTTCCCGGTGATCACCTGCGTCAGCCGATATGAGAAGCTTCCGTGATGCCTCTTGAGAAAATCCTCCATAACGGATCTTTTCGCCGCAATAACGGGTGGCAGTATGCCTACATATGTACCTATAGATTCTGCTATCTTACAATTTTAATATTGAAAAATGTACGAAAAATGTTTCGTACTATAATTTGTACGTGCCCCAAGAGTATCTTCCTATCTAGGCAAAGCCCAGTTATAAACGCTAACTTTTTCCATTTCTCGGTTGACTGTTAGAGAAAGGGAAAGGCATCCCCTTTTGACTGTCCCGCTCCATCCAACTGCGGTCTCTCTCGAGGCACCATAAGATGTAATTTCTTGCCGCTCGGAGTGTTCTTTCCCTGTAGATGCCTATGTTCAGTCTTTGCCGCCGATGAACTATGCCGAATGCACACGTTCCTCCTGGAACCGCAGATCCTGGCAAAATGAAAAGACCATAGATATCCGAATGTTTGCTGTAAATACGAGCAGGTAGCTTAGTTGGAGGGGTGAATAGTAATCATTTTTAAAATAAAAAAACAGTGTCAGTGTCAAGTCAAGTAACCCAATTTAGCAACAGTTAGTTGAATTATGTAATAAAATTACTCAAACGTTGTAACATTCTAGCGTGATAAATCAAATTACGTGGAATGAGAAAGGTCATATGTAAAATTAAACAAACCTAAACATTTTCTTTAACACACTATATATTATACACATTAACTAGCTAACTACGTAACGGAATCTTTTTCATTAAATTCTACTGCCATTGACTTTTTTAAGTTCTGCATACTTATCACTGGCCAGATCAGGCACAGTTCTCGGGGTGGCGGGCTCAGTATAGAGGCTGCTGTCTAATCTACGACTCCGCGGGAGGAAATTCCCCGCCTATACTGTGCGGTGATACGATCCATGGACGCCGATATTGGCTAAGCGCCTATCTGCTTTTCCCGCTGCCAACATCAGCTCAATCAAGCGTAGCTGGTTGCGAATATTCGGATCGTACGAGGATACCGCACTATCTCCTCGGAGGCGGTGACAGTCCAGGCACGTTTGGTGCCTTTAAATATCCTTACGTATAAGTACACGAGGGTCTATGATCAGACTCGTGCGATCCGTTGGCGGGGTGGTTCAGGACGAGCTGTGCGCCAACGCGTTTTATAGTGCCGTTCTGCATAACTGCGAAGAGTGGGTTAGTAGGGATGCCGGTCGCGTCAGCTGCTAGTTCATGCACGTACTCCTCGGGCATGGCTTCGGTGATTACCTGAATTCGATCGGACTTGAGTAGACGGCAATGCCAGCAATCCGCCGAGCACCATGCGCAAGAGCAATACCCTGCGTGGGTTTCTTAACGGGAGGTCCTGCTAGAACGAATCAGATGAGTTTGTCCCCGCCAGCAATAGTATCAAAACATGGCCGGGCCACAATACATAGGTAGTGATTGGGCCAAAAGAAGGGTGAAACCTGGGGCTTCTTCCGGGATAGGACCTAGTTAAGTGCTACGTTGATCCGGGATAGGATCTTGTTAGGTCTGGCGTTGATCCAGGGGAGACCTGAAATCACATGGTCCAGGTCTTTCCAAAGTTGAGCGCCTGAGGCCGCACGTTGGGCGGAGTTAGATGTTATTGCTAAGTCTAGATTGTACAAGTTTTCTACAATCTATGCTTCGAAACGCACTATTGTTACCTGAGAAATTGCTATTGGAGAGACTAACTTTAGCTGGTACAGACTGTCTATACTAGCTAAAGTCTCTCGATTAGCATTTTAGACACCATCTTGTTTATTAATCATCATCATCTTGACATGCTGCTGGACATAGTTCTCTTCTTAGAATGGAGGTTTTTGGCCTACTATGCCACGCCGGCCAGACGGCTTAGTAAGGGGTTTGTTTCAAGGATAGTTTACTCCCTTAGTCGGCTCTTACGACACCCACGGAAGGAATAATATTCTACCACATACAACGCTATCTAGTCTCAAACTAAGCAGAGCTTGTTCTGTAGGTACTAGACAACTGATATAAATACATATATACTTTTTTTTGTAAATACATACATATTATACATATAAACACCCAGACCAAATCAAACATGTTCATGCACACAAATGTTTGACTTTAGCGGGAATCTAAACCCGCGATCTTTGGAATAGCAGTCCGTTACACAAAACACTACGGCATCCGGTCGTCAAACTGCGTCAAATAGCGGTGGTGACACTCCGTATTTTAATCCGACAGAGTCAAAGTCTGCAATTGCTTTAACTCTGAATGTAGAAATAAATTGGATACTAATTGGGTAGATATCCAAAAAGCTATTAGGAATAAAATATTTGGAAAATTACTTACGCTACGTTCATAGTGTTTATATAGTCAGATATCACTTAAAGTACATACACACTTAGGCTTCCATTTATCTAATAATTGTTTCCGACAACCTGTAAACAAGTTATCTGTAACCTAACTAGCGCTAAACCGCGGCTAAACACAGTTCAAACCCAGTCCTAGTTTAAAATCCTTGAATGGAAATAAAGATTCATAAAAGAGAGAGTAAAGATATACAGGGCTTAATAAGCACTTCATTCACAGAGATCTACCCCGATAAGAACATCAATTTTCTTAACATTGTTATGTACACATACATTGTTAAATAAATGTGAAGCTTACACCAGTAGATAGTGCTGACGACGTCCATTATCTAGTTCTCTCGTCGTCCAATAAATAATGACCGCTTTGATAAGGCTTCTGTGCTCAGTCAACACTCGACGCTCATCGCTGACACTTGTATCTATTTTATCGGTCGCTTATCTACATTTAACAGTTTATAAGAACTTTTCGTTATGTGTTTCAAAGAAAGTGTTGGTTGACACGTAATGTGGATGTATTTGTGTGACGATTGGTTAGTTGCAGTTGTACTGGATTATAATAAACAATAGGTAGGTGATAGTTTTAATTGATAATGGTTAACTGCAATTTCTGACCTCCTTTAGAAGATGTGTCTCGTATACCTATAAGGCTCTAGGGCCTGTTGGTCCAATGGTTAGCCATTTTGATTGCTAAGATTGAGGTCGTGGGTTCGACCCCCGTCAAATATTGTGTGATGAGCATGATCATTTGTTCTGTATTTATCTATAATATGTATTTAGAAATGTAAAAATATGTTTATCAGCAGTCTAGTAACCGGCTCGGTGTGAGATTTGTCATGTTATAATGTTAGACCTTTAAGCTGTTTTATAATTATTTACCGTGGGAGAGCCATGCTTCGGCACGAATGGGTCGGCTCGATCGGAGTGATACCACGGCCTCACAGAAAACAGGTGTATGTATTTACAAAAAAAAGTTTTCTATCAGTCAATCTAGCTTTCATAGTACAAGCTCTGCTTAGTTTGAAACTAGATGGCGTTGTATGTCAGATGTCCAAATATTATTATTATTTGAATGTTATTGTTTTAAGCTCAAGGCTGGTTTTAACTGTATTTATAGGTCAAAACCAACAAGTAAATACAGTGAGGTGTGTTTTGGTTATGTAGATGGTGGTTGCTGTGTGTGTTGTGTTGTTTCGTTTTGTTCAAGATCCATGAACTTTTTTACCTGTTTTGCATATGTTTAATATTGCTGCTTTCTGTAGATTTGTATTTACGGAATCATTTTAATCTATTAATTTAATGCTATGGTGAAGGTGTTCACGTATGACCCTTTTTGTAGATAAAACTATAGGTACTGTGTAAATTCGTTCCCCCTACTTTATTATTATAATAATATTAGTTTAATATTAAAAGAATTTAAACATACATCCACATTTTGACACGCCTTATATTAGCTTCACTTGTATGTTTGTATGTTTGTAACCGACTCCTTTGGGCGTGATTTTGACTGACTTTAAACAGCCCGAATTCGTTCAAACTTTGTAGATATATCGAGGACCGATGACAATACACTAATTTAAAATAAAATAAAAATGCTTTTTACTATTGACAACAGGCACCCAACGCTTTTTTTTTCATATTTATTAAAATTTATTTTCTATTTTTTAGTTTGGTTTTCTACAAAAAGCGTGTTTTTTAGTTTTTTTAACTATTTTTTTTGTTCAATTTTCAATGCTTTTACTCATTGTAAAAACTGGGATGGAAACTGAGGAACTTATTTGAAAGGTATTTTTTCTATGGCTCAATATAATCATATCTAGGTATAGACCATCATCATAACATTACTCATTAGAAAGGGTGAAATTTGACTTATAAACCATGGTAATAATTTAAAATGCTCCTTGTAAAATAGTTACCCATATTGAAATAACGTTACTGATATGTTGTGCCGTCTGTGTTGAACTTATATTTATTTTATTTATTCGTTTTTTATGGCCATAGAAACAGCAATGTCTAAGAAAAAGCGAATACAAATCGCAATCTACGACTACGCCTACCCATTCATTTAAATGCGGGGAGTTAATTATCACTAAATAACTGATATGTAAATAATAAATATAATGGCCAATTCTTAATGAATGTGTACCTACGCAATGATAAAGTATATAAATAGAAATTGATGATTTATATAACTCAATGCTATTTACACAAGGCATTATCATCAATTTTTAATAAATAATAAAATTATGTAAATGCTAGGGGCCGGCGTACGCATACCTATATAATTTTGAGCGACTTGTGTGTGGATTATAAACACAATAAAAAAAAAAACTTCAACTACCTTGAATAACTGTTAAATTAACTAACATAACAGTTACTATTCCTAGTAGTGCTAATAAAATACCAGAGCATATCGACCTTTTTGATATAAATGATGCTTTTTTTTAGTCGTGTGGGTTCAATAGCCAGGTGGGAAGGGGACTTTCAATTAAATGAACACACGAATCAGGTGTATCGTGGAAAGGAAATCCCTGTGAATCCCGATAGAATTAGCCACCTGTTGCTGAACGCGTGGTTTTTTGAATTGTTAAAGGGTTCATCTTCATCAGTCTATCGCAGTTCACTGCTGGACATAGGGCTCCCACAATGCAGGCCACTTTGATCGATTTTCGGCTTCTCGCATCCAACTGTCTGTGTCGTCAAGAGTTGTCTGTTGCTAACTCTAAAAATTTAAAAAGCCACTTCACGCAGCTGCTTGGGGTCTGATACTATTATGACGAATGATAACTATGCCCATCACCCTTAAGCAAGCTTGCATCTCCAGCATTGAATTGTATAATAAAATGATAGAAAAACAAAAAGAACATTGAAGAGACTTAAAATTTGAACTTCAACCCAGGTGTTTGATTATTGTTTGACTGCAAAACATCAAACTTTAAAATGCTGATAGTTGTAAGAGTAATTAATAGCCGCCCAACCTACGAAATGTACCTACTTCAATATTTCATAGAAACTACAAAGTTCTCTGCAAAAATTTAAATGACTAAATGCATTTGTAACTTGTTTAAACAAGTCTTAAACTGAGAAACCCTACGGTGCGCTTGGCCTAACGACACACAAGTCGACACTAATCCCCTTTTTTTCTCTAATATAATAATAATATTTGTTTACACATTTCACACCCGGCCGTCTGATCCCAAACTAGGCAGAGCCTGTGCTATGGTAACCAGACTGCTGATAAACATACTTATATATTTCTAAATACATACATATTATAGAAAAAATACACCCAGACACAGAACAAATGACCCTGCTCATCACACAATTATTTGTCCTCGGTGGGAATCGAACCCACGTCCTATGGCCTAGCAGTCAGGGTCACTAAACCAACAGGCCAGTCAACAGTCTCTGTGCGTAAGTCCCCTCGGATACCACCCACCAGTGGGTGATTATGTCTGACTCGAATCGACCAAAAACCGCACGCCGTCTCCAGGTACCAGTAGCCTGGGAACCAGGTATACCCTAGTAAGGAAAGCCCTGGTACCCCGACGTACCTGGGGCCATCTACGGTTTATAGATGACCACTCCTGTGTGGGAACCCGGATGTTCTCTTCCTGCCCTCGAAGGGCCTGCTTCTGCTAGAGTGATCCCTTAACCAATATAAAACTTACTTTGTATATGTCAGGGTTTTTTTTCATATTGTACATAACTGAATAGATCTATATGTAGTGAAATAATTGCACTAAATAGATCACTGACATCATCGATAAATAATCGTGTTTCGTTGTCGTAGGTCGGTAAACAAGGCGGATGGCGACGGAGGAGGACATCGACACCCTCAAACTATACTGGGATCATTTCTTCAAAGCGGAGACCGGCACTTATGAGGTACTACTACTTATAAGGGACTATTTACATCTATGTGTTTGTGTCTATTTTTTATATGTCAATGATTACAACGTGACCTGTGAAATCTATGAGAATGAATTCTAATTTATTAATTTTATACATTAAATACAGGAAAGGCTTTTTTTTTTTTTTAAAGTATCCTATGTTCTTTCTCAAGAATCAAACTATCTCCATATCAAATTTTATATGAATCCGTTCTGCGGTTTTTGAATCCCCCCACAAACTCCCCTCCCCCCCTTAAAGGATGATTTCTAGGATAAAAACTATCCTGTACTTTCCCGGGACTCAAAATATCTTTATACCAAATTTCATCAAAATCGGTTGAGCGGCTTAAGTGTGAAGAAGTAACAGAAGACAGACAGATTAGTATGGAGTAGATTCCGCGTGCAGCTTCGCCCGCGTTGATTTCGGTAAACGTGATCCTTTTTTCGCCCAGATTGTATAGCATACAAGCGACCTCTACAACAAGAAGCGTTATATGTCAGCCAATTTACTTGAAACCATCATGAGGTATATACCTAATCCTTTATCACACTATCTATTGGTGAAACCGTACAAAAATCGCGTTCATACAGAAAAACAGACGCAAGGACTTCATGTTATAATATGTAAGGATTAATTAAATAATTTTCTCAATACCGCCAAGACTACATTAAAAAGACGTTCTCTATACTGCCCCGTTTGGGCTTCAATTTCGAAATATTTTAATACTATGCACATATTTTAGCAATGCTTTAATGTTTCCGGTGCAAGGTCATTCTGAACAATAAATTATAATAATTAGATATATATACGTGGCTTCTGGGGAACAGTATGATTGTTATACTATGAAATGGATATTTGTACTGTATGTAAACAGAAAAGGCGCTTTTAGTCTATAAACCGTGACTCTTATTGACGGTGACGGCTCATTAATTGTCTACCCTACTCCCAATCCTAATTGGTGTCAATTTCAAAGTGATTTTGGCTGGTTTCTTCTATGTCCAGTCTCAGGCTTTTAGAAGGAAATTGTTTTAGAGAAGAGAAGGGAAGAAGGAAAGTTATGACGATGACTAGGGAGCAAGGGAGCTAAGGATTTGAAAATAGTACTTTTTTATTGACGGGGTGGCTTCTGGAGGACGCTATCGGCGTTTCCATTAAAAACCACCCCGAGAGCCGTCCCTAGGTGTATTCTGGGGGTTGGGGGGAGCCCGGACCATGTGGTTTCTAGGTCTTCGCTCCGCTCTCTACCATGCTTTAAGAGAAACGATACAAAGCATTAATCTGTCAGGGTAAAGAAGTCTTGTGATTAGAGTGGCCACTAAAACAGCAACATCCACTATACACTAAATTAGACTAAAATGCAAAACATCTATGAATGTACACTTTCATTATACGAGTATATACGTTAATGTAATAGCTTTATGAATATGATTTAGTTAGATAGGTATATATTACGTTAACAATGATACGTCACAAGTTACATATGTAGTTAAATTTCTATTAGTTCCGCTACAGTTGCGTACTTGTTACAAATGACTTGCAGCAAAAACTACTTCAAAATTACTTAGCATAGCAATTAGCATTAAAAAATGCTAAAAAAAATGTAATACTATTGCTATGGCTGAGCAATATGATGTGCCTAATATAAATATCATCAACAGCCTTTAAAAGTCCACTTCTGGTCATAGGCCTTAGAAAGGAGGTTTTGGTCTACTATACCACGCTGACCAGACAGGTTGGTATAGGGTTTGTTTCAAGATTTCCTTCTCTTTGCAGTGCTGTTGTCCTGCGTAGTTTGCTCCCTTAGGCGTCTCTTAAGACACCCACTGGATGAATATGGGTGGTGACACTCCGTATTCTTAATCCTTCACAATATCCGTTATACCATTTGGTTACTTACTGAAAAAATGCATCGACTATAAGTAAAGGAATGCATCGCATGCATTTAGTCTGCTACTATGTAGTGATAGGGACTAATCACACCCACACGCCCATCACTGTAACTCCTGTACACCAGGATCCACAGCAGTGACCCACGAACACACCGAGTTATGACACTCGGGAAGTCCCAGGAAGAAGTTTTTTTTTTTTTCTTTTAAAAAGACAACTCCCGCATTAGGAATACATCCTGTGTCGCGGGGTACTTTACAAACATACATGAAACGAACACAAAGAACACCCAGACTCAGAACAACAATTTGTGGATCACACAAAGTGTCGTCCCGTGTGGGGTTTGAACCCACAACACTCGACGTAGTAGGAAGCAGCGTGGCGACCGCTTAAACCACTACGCCATCCGTGCAGTTAAACTGTCTTGGAACCCGCAGCGAAATTAATCAGAAGAAAATTGGAGGAGTTGGAAATACAGTAAATCCACTTCCCTCCTTAGCAAAGCGGGAGACAAAATGAAGTAAAATGGGCATACACCCTTTTAAACAGGGAAGCACCACGGCCACAAATATTACGGGTCCTACGTGAGCTATGTTTGATTTCTATAATATGTATGGCAGAATCGCCTAGACGCACGGAAATTCACCCTAGTTGACATAAGATCCCCATAGTATACCGCCCCAGATGTCACCTGCAAGCTATTCAGCATTATATTACGTTCATTATACCAAAGACTACATTCCCAGAGGATATGATGGGAGAATACTGAAATAGAAAGGGTAGAGAAGGAATTGGAAGGAAAGGAATATTGCTTATACAGATGGATCCTAGTCGTGTTTTGGAATAGAGATCACGAGACGATCTTTTTTTGTTTGAGCAGAATCCTGTTAGGTTCTAATTAATTTATATCACTTCGAAGTTTAAATGTGGAAAATATAACAGAGAGGATTTCTATTTCAAAACCGTAAAATCTATTAAACGACAGTAACAAAGAAATGTAGTCCACTAAAAAGGAAAGTTACGTATATATCGTATTGAGGTTCAATACGCTCCAACGCACGCCATCTCCGTTAAGATGCTTCGTGTTATTCTTTTATTAGAAGTGTGTATTTGATACTTAATACACATACTTACATCCATACTAATATTTTAAATGCGAAAGTGTTTCTGACTGTCTGTTACCTCTGCAGTCTTAAACCGCTGATTCGATTTAGATGAAATTTATTGTAGAGGCAATTTGAGTCCCGGGAATGGACATAGGATGGTTATTATCCCAGAAATCGTCCTTTAAGGGGGTGAAAAAGGGGGTTACGGTTGGTATGGAAAATCAATAACCTCTGAACCGATTTAGATACAATTCGGGATAAGAATAGTTTGATTTTTGGAAAAGGTTACTTGTTACCGCGATAACCGTCACACACGCCGCGGGCAAAAGCTAGTTATGATATATAATATCTATATTCTATACAAGTAAAAGAGAGAGCCGAGGGAGAGCCATACTTCGACACAGGTGGACCGGCTCCACCGGAGTAATTCAAGGCGTCACAGAATAGCAGTGAAGCCAAAGTCCATGTGATTCTAGGGGATGGGGCTGAAAGGTTGGCAACGCATCTGGAACTTAGAGTTGCAAGTGACCCTTCTGCTCCATAACATATATTTACCTCGCGGATCACAGTCCGGTCTCTTGAAGTACACTTAAGGTCTTTAATCACATTTTTATCATATTTTTGGAACGAAGTTTTCTGAGCGTTGCTCTGAGGAGACCGAAAAATGTGTAACAAGACTTTTTTCAGACACTTCTTGCTATACGTCTACCAAAAAGGGAAAGGAATTTCGTTTTGACCGGTGGACCATAGACCCTTCACGCCGTTTTTGTTTATTTTTCGTTCCTGCGTTTATTTATTTTTCGCTATATTCACCACAATATGTGTTTTAATATAGTAAGTATTTTAGGTGTACTAAGTTGTGTGTAAAAGCTATAAGATCCCTGATTCAGTCGAAGAGATCTGTATATAGAACATTTTCCTTACAGAAATCGACTTGGCTGGACTTGTTCCTGGCCGAGTTCCTGATCCGGGTCAACAACGGGGATAATCCCAAGGAGTTGATCAAATTCTGGTAAGCTTACAGATTACAGTTTGTGAACATATCATTTAAAGGGTAAATCTGTAGTATTTTGTTAATTGTACTGTTTTTTTTTTTAACAAAAGTTGGATGTCTCGCAACGCTACACTTTGAAATTAGGAGTCTCTTCTGGAACTTTAATACTTTTGTGACAGTCTCTAATGAAATACTGTATGTGTGTGTGTGTGGTGAAGTATGCTTCATTAGATGTAAGTGACTAATTAACATGACAGTAACTGTTTATTTTTTACAATTTTGTTTAGTCCCGTGAGTGGTGTAGTAACGCTGGTAGGATGCGAGCTGCTGTGCGGGATCCACCGCGTGACGTCATCCATCAACACGCATTACTCGGTGCCACTGTTGTGTTTAGACTCGCCATGCTCCAGCAAACCTGCCCCATCGGGCGATACCATCGACTATGTCGGTATGTACAAAATATGTAGACCCTCCTATATAATATGTAGATTGCGAGATATGAGTTAAGAATGACCAATCAGGTTCTAAGCCTCCGTACGAATCGATTGGTCAGGGGGCGGGGCTTGATCGATGTGTCACTATTTTCTTAACGCGAATGGACTATAGTATTTTCTTGCACATCTTTTGGTCCGTGCCTGGTAGTTTATTTATGCTATGTAAATATTAAAAAATTAAAACTAGGTTTATTTAAAAATATATGTGTTCGTTTGACGGTATGTCTTGCCTATACATAAGCAGAACTGAAAATGATAGCTGGCAAAATGTGGGCGTTAAATATGGCTCTGTGTACTGTGTACATATGTACTCCACAATGTTCATTGATGTAGAGGACTTAGCGTTCCAAATTAAAATTCCCATTTACACAAACAAAACATTGTTATGATGCAGATACCGAAATCAATCCGGAGGAACCAAAAGTTGGTCCGGCGAGTTTGTTCACCCGCATCAACATGCAGTCTTCAGAGGAGATTCTGAGGAAGTACCTGCTCGGAGGCATAGCGTGGCGGTGCCTCGTGCTGCTCAAGGCCCTCGGCGTCGAAGTGAGTTCATCCCGAAATATTCTACTCAGAATTTGTTTGGTTTTAAATATTGCTTTGTATTGTGTAGAAAAGATGCGTCATGTCATCATCAGTTGACTTGGCCCGTTGGTCTAGTAGTAAGTGACCCTAATTGCTAAGCCGGAGGTCGTGGGTTCGATTCCCACCTAGGACCAATAATTGTGTCATGAGCAAGATCATTGGTTTTGTGTTTGGGTGTAATTTATTTGTAAAATGTATGTATTTAGTAATATATAAGCATGTTTAACAGCTGCCTGGGACTGGGACCAGACGGCCATGCCACGTGTGAGATGTGTAAAGTTTTTTTGGTCATAATTTACCTGCCCTGGGAAAGGTACCATATGTAATACTATATAGGGTTTCGTATGGTTTTTTATAAAGCCTTCAGTGCAATCTACATTCTAAGTTCCTGTTTCTGTCCGAAATTTCCGATATCATATACTCTAGTTGCCGCGTTTTATCCGTTTTCCCTACCCCAAGTGTTTCTTCTTTCTTTGTTTCATTTTACATTCTAAAAGAAACTTAGCACCAGGCCGGTGGCCGCCCCCTAATATTATTGGGAAATGGGCAGAATAATCGTGATGTATATGGATGTGTGAGAGACATGCTTCGACACAAATGGGCCGGCTCAGACCGGAGTGTTAAACAATTCTTTCCTGGCTTTGAGGCTACCGGAGCCCTTCCCCTTTCGTGTGGTGGTCACTTATCAGTCAGTTGAGCCATATTTTTTTTACTTGTGGAAACTCCCTCGGGCCGTCACCCCACGGTGGTTAGCCGGCTAGTTGGTGGTGTGTCGGAATACTGACTAAAACCAGACGGTGTGCCACTCTGCGCCTGAAATAGGAGGGATCCAGGAACTGTTGTTATTAAGACATCCAGATCTAAACAGTTGACATTTCCATACCAAGATAACCTATCACTTCTTAACTTTTCATCCAGTGGCGCTACCATCACGTCTCACAAAGAATTAAAATAGATCTTACATCTATTTATTTATTTAATTCTTTTTGCACAAATAACAATTGATTGTACAATGGTGGACTTAATGCCATAGCCATTACCTCCCAGTCTACCTTTGGGTGGTGACGAAATGTCTGAGTAGGTGCATTAGAAATTAAGTTTGTTGTTGTAACGAGATAATGATTATTAAGGAGATGGGCAGAAACAGTGTGACAGATATACATACATACATATAATACAATAAGTCTTGCATTATTTATCTACTAATCAAATACTGAACAAGATCAAAAGTAATAAATCACATCGTAAAGACTACGCTGAGGTTACAGAGTCCATTTTTATTGTCGACTTGCGATAAGTAACTAAATTAAAAATAATTATTTTTTATAATAATTAGGCATGTTTGTTTTGTTAAAGTTACGTCATTTAATTGTTATAATGATTATAATTAATGTAAAATCGTTCTTGAAAAAAGGGGTTAAGTTCAAATTTAGATACAATTACTCCCTTCAAGGTGAGGCCCTTGGAAGAATAGACAGAGTTAAGAATGAAAGTGAATTAAAGTTAGCAACAACTTTCTCTACAAATCATTAAAGTTCAATTTAGATCGTTCGCTAATATGTAACATAAGTGAAATTCTCCTGAGAATATAACGAAATATATAAATATGTTTTTAATTTTACTACCCATTTTAAAATTTTATTTGGGAACATACATTAAAGCCTTTAACAGTACACTGCTGGACATACGGAGGGGTTGGTATAGGATTTGTGTCAAGTTTTCCTTCCCTTTGCAGTGTTGTTGTCCTGCGTAGTTTGCTTTCTTAGTCGGCTTTTACGACACACACGGGATGAATAGGGGTGGTGACACACCGTATTCTTATTCCGTCACCACTTGTCCGTATAACATTACAAAGAAATCTGGATGGGTTTTTTCATTGCATATAGTATAAAAATATATTTTTAACTATAGTTCGGTTTGCTGTGTTTAAGTTTTAGTTTTTTTAAGTATAATTTATTTTCTTGTTTCGTCTCGTAATCGATCCTTTTTTTTTTTTTTTTTTTTTTTTCTCCGTGCGGAAATCCCCTCGGATACCACCTGTCGGTGGCATGTCGTACACGAACCGACTAAAACCGCACGCCGTCTCGGGTACTAATAGCCGGGGAACCAGGTATACCCTAGAAAGGAAGTCCCTGGTGCCCCGACATACCTCGGGTCATCTACAGACGAGTAGACGACCCCTCCTCGTGTGGGAACCCCATGTTCCCTGTGCTCCCTGGAAGCGAGCGCGCTTCGCAACGCGCTCCCCGCCACCCCGGCCTGCTTCTGCTAGGGTGACAGATGGCCTCACCTGTCACCCCCTCGCCTGCTCTTATGGAGGACGGAGGTCGTTCTGCGACCTCCGGCGCCTGAGTCGCCTGCGGTACCTGGCCCGTTCCCGGGCCTGGCGGGCCGGGAGAGTCCTAAACCTCTCCCTGTCCCGCTCCGCCGTCTCCTTCGCGAGCATAACTTGCTCGCAGAAGGAGACTCGTAATCGATCCTTGTGTTGTGTAATACCTCTATGGACCAAAACAAACGGAACACCAAGTGTAATCAATCTATACTCTATATCTATACAAATAAATAAAATTGGAGTGTCTGTTTGTAATGTTAAAATAACCGATTTTTACTAAATGCATATGTATGTTTACACGGTACATATGCTAAAATAATATTTTTTTCAATTTTTGTCTGTCTGTCTGTCTGTCTATCTCTGGCACGGCTGGACCGATTTTGACGGGACTTTCACTGGTAGATAGCTGATGACAGGAGGCTAAGGAGTAACTTAGGCTACTATTTTCGAACTAGCTTCGCCCCGCGGCGTTGCCCGCGGTTATAACAACAAACGCCGGTAACACCGCGGATCTCAGCTAGTCGATAAATATTTAAGTATTTATAGTTATGTTGTTATAAATGTTAGACTCAATGCTGAAGTAAAATAACAGGTATAGCTATAAATTATTACCAAAATAACAATGTATCGTTTGCTCTACAAACATGAAACTAACAAGAAATGTAGTGCGTTGTCGCGGATAGTTATCGGCGGGTCGGCACCCTCTCGACGGAAACTTGTGTAGGTATCGCTCGTGTCGCCCACTGCCTATACATCATCTATTTATTACGTGTCTCATACCAATATAACTGACCCATTCACCAACAGTCAGCGTTCATAATTAATAAATAATAATAATAATAAATTGTTTATTTTCTCGCCACAATACATTTATACATAATTTTAGCCTGTAAAAGGATTATTACAAAATTTTATACTGTGGGAGACTGGTGCCTAAGCTAGGCTAGCTATTTCAGGACACCAGGGTCCCCTCCTTAATTGTATACATATCTGTTAGTATCAGCGCTTTGACAATTAGTTGTGGTCGAACTATTATTATTGTGTGTGTGAGTGGTGTAGGTGTGTGTGTGTGTGTGTGTGTGTGTGTGTGTGTGTGTTCATAATAGTGGGTGTAGGATCGTGATGTACCTATGTTTATGCTAAGACAGCAAGCATCTTTTCAGTGTCGTCGTAAGATAGATCTGAGAGCCAAGCAATTAGGTTTTTACTTATTTGTCTCTAAACATGGCTCTCCCATAACATCCATACTTAATATTATAAATGCGAAAGTGTGTCTGTCTGTTACTACTTCACACTTAAACTGCTGGACCGATTTAGATGAAATTTGGTATATAGATAAATAGATAGATAGATAGATAACTCTTTATTTGCACACTAAATTACAGAGTTTCAAGAAAGGAACACAACGATCAAATATCGAGTGTACAAAGGGCGGCCTTATTGCTAAATGCAATTTCTTCCAGGCAACCTTAGATAGTTTGAGTCCCGGGACATAGGATAGTTTTTTATCTCAGAAATCATCCTTTAAGCTGATCGAAAGGGGGGTGGAAGTTTACATGAGGAATCAATAACCGCTAAACCGATTTAGATTAAATTTAGCAAAAGCTAGTATGAATGTATTTGTTAAAACAATACTTTTTCTGAACAAAAAATACCCTATACTTTTATACCTCTAACATCGGTATCGTAAAAAAATCTTAACGGTCGGTTAAATAGGTAATGTCTGAAAGCGTAACAAACAAACTGACATTCCTATTATATAAGCAAGGTTAGAAAGTGGACGCCAAAGTCACCTTACGGGTTACAACCTATACAGTTCAAAGGTCAGTGCCCTCGTTCAAGTGGCGTATTCATTGATATCAGTATACTATAGACACGTAACTATTTATATATATGTATAGGTATGTATGTTCGATGAATGAAGACACTTTTTCTTTTTTAAAATATCACACGACACAACGAAAACCCAGACTCAGAACAAAATTTGTGGATCACACAAAGTGTCGTCCCATGTGGGGTTGAACTCACAACACTAGGCGTAGTACGAAGCGGCGTGGCGACCGCTTAAACCACTAAGCCAACTGTGCAGTCAAAAGCTCCGTCTTTGATATACCTAGTTTAGGGAATTGAGAATTGATCCTGCAATCCCGCAGTTGCATGCTCTAGCACCGCGCTACATAGACAGACGGACTACAAAGTGATCCTATAAGGGTTCCGCTTTTCTTTTGAGGTACGGAACCCTAAAATCGATAAACCAGACTTCCATCTCACAAGTATAATTGTTACCTTTTGACTGCAAAAGTTGGAATTTCTCTCTTTGATTTCACTAAAGAGTATTTCATCATATGACACGAAATTCAGACTCAAGAAAAAATCGTAGGTACTCCCATCTAGCGTCGTGTTTGTGATTTCTAAGTTGTTCATGAACGGCGGTAGTCACTTTCCACCAGGTGACCCGACTGCTCATTTGCCCTCTATTTCATAAAAAAAAACATATTTTGTCCTCTGGTTTTATCACCTCTTGTTCACATTCCTGATAATAAAATTAAATGTGGAAGCGTACTCCTCTGATTGGTACTCATTTGTTACTCAATCCGATACTGTCTCTGCCAGATGACAACACTAACATATAATATGATAAAATTTGACATAATATGTACATACAAATGTAATAATAATAACAGCTTCACTCATCTCATACACGGCCGTCTGATCCCAAACTAGGCAGAGCCTGTGCTATCGTAACCAGACTGCTGATAAACATACTTAAATATTTCTAAATACATAAATATATAGATATTTGTATAGACAAATAAATAAAATTGGAGTGTCTGTTTGTAATATTAAAATAACCGCTTTTTACTAACTGCATATGTATGTTTACACGGTACATATGCCAAAAGAACATTTTTTACAATTTTTGTCTGTCTGTCTGTTTGTTCCGGGTAATCTCTGGAACGGCTGCACCGATTTCGACGGGACTTTCACTGGCAGATAGCTGATGACAGAAGGAGTAACTTAGGCTACTTTTTTTAGACTAGCTTTGCCCCGCGGCGTTGCCCGCGGTTATAACAACAAACGCGGGTAACACCGCGGGTCTCAGCTAATATGAAATAAATCAATTTATATTTATTGACTAGCTGAGACCCGCGGTGTTACCCGCGTTTGTTGTTATAACCGCGGGCAACGCCGCTGGGCAAAGCTAGTTATAGATAAATTACAACCAGACATAGAACAAATGATTGTATTCATCACACAAAAATATTTGTCCTGGGTGTGAATCGAACCCTCTGGCTTAACAGTCAAGGTCACTAACCACTGGACCAATAGGGCCGTCTAATATATATATATATATATACTTAACATTTTTATGTGTAAATGATAGTGTAAAAAACTGAGTCCCAGCATTGTACGTGCAACAGTCTTGTCTATCCATACCAGTTCAGTATTAGTTAGTAATTCTAATTAATACTAATTTAAAAACAATTAAAACGCTCTGTAACGACGTCCACATAAAATGAAACAAAAACATACTTTAGCGCCATCTAACGGAGACACACTGAACTACGGAGTCACTACTAATACTGAATCTCGCAGTTAAGGTTATCGCTTTGATTAATATACATAGAAATACCCAACATCAAACGTTGTGTATGTCGAAGACGCCATACAGCCACCATGATATACACTCAACATTTTATAAAAAAATTACCATAAAATTATATATGAGTATAATGTTGCAGGGCCTGTCCTGCTGTCGCCAGCTGAGCTCCGTGCTGATCTGGTTGTTCGGCGAGTTGAACGTAGTGCACGGTACGACCACGTCTGACGCCATTCACACGCCGTCGCCGACGCGCACCCCTATTCACCAACTCTTCTCACACAAGTACGTTACACTATGAACACCTGTCATTAGTGCAGGCAAATATATGTGGTGTGGCTAGTATGTTTATTATTATTATTATTTTTTCTATTTTTTATGTTTCACTTCATTTTCTCTTGTATTCGTTTTTTTCTTTATTGTCTTTTCACCTTTTAGTCCTTAATAACGGACATACTAGCACACATCAAAACAATGTTGTGGTATATTTAATACTGCCATTGTATCTACCTGTGAATTGCAAAAGAGTGGCCATGAGTTTGTTTGCCCTTTCTTCTCATAAGGCTCAACCCCTTGGAAACGGGCGGTTGTAGATCGGCACAGGCATATCATAGATTTTGTATGGGTTTGATTTTTGTTAAATTTATTTGGTTACTATTTGACAAAACAGCGATTGTTGCTTTTGTGTGTGTTGATCTATGAGTTTAGAGTCTACATGGAAGACGATTTCAAACAATTTTGGAAATTTTATGAAATAAAGAAAGTTTGAGTTTGAGTTTATAATTATCTCAATTTGTTCAAGCTATGGAATTTATAAAGTGCTATGGTATAATCCATACTAGTATTATGAATGCGACAGTGCGTCTGTCTGTTATTACAGTTAATGCTAACACATTAAATAATATTATAATAAAGATTAGTTTTCAATTATTAATTGAGCAAGCTTCCTTTTAAATCAGTGTTCATTTTTTATAGTTATTTATTTTTGTTTTAAAAGCGCTCCTTCATACGTAATCATCGTTTTAACGTAGTTCGTGCGAATTCTCGGCAGAGCGCGGTGCGTGCGAATCCCGGGGTTAGCTACCATTTAGATGACATTTTTTATTATTTCAATAATAAAAATTCAGTGCAGCAGTTTAAGCGTGAATAAGTAACAGACACACAAGTTTGATTCTTGAGGAAGAACAAAAACTACTTTTTACCGCGATAACCGAAAAACACGCGGGTGAATCCGCGTTTAAAACCTAGTTTATATTTATGGCGACCGGATGGCGTAGTGGTTTGTGTAACGGACTGCTAATCCAAAGGTCGCGGGTTCGATTCCCGCTATAGTGAAACATTTGTGTGCATGAACATTTAATGTTTGATTTGGTCTGGGTGTTTCTATGTATAATAAGTATGTATTTACAAAAAAAGTATATATGTATTTATATCAGTTGTCTAGTACCCATAGTACAAGGGACTAGATGGCGTTGTGTGAATGTGGTAGAATATTATTATATGGAAACAACTAAGTCAGAAAATCAGTAAATGCCTCGTCTCAACTGCGCCTATGAAAGCTGGAAAGGTCAAAGGCCAAAGGTCGCGGGTTCGATTCCAGCTATAGTCAAACATTTCTGTGCATAAACATTTGATGTTTGATTTGGTCCGGGTGTTTGTATGTACAATATGTATGTATTTACAAAAGAAAAGTATTTATGCATTTATCAGTTGTCTAGAACCCATAGTACAAGCTTTGCTTAGTTTAGGACTAGATGGCGTTGTGTGGATGTGGTAGAATAAAAAAAAATCTTATCGTAATCCCTCGTGACACTTTATGAGCACTGTGATTCTCGGTCTAGATTTAGGAGCTTCTAAATTCATCATCATCATCAACAGCCTTTAACAGTCCACTGCTGGGTAGGAGGTTTTGGTCTACTATACCACGCCTGGCCAGACGGGTTGGTATAAGGTTTGTGTCAAGTTTTCCTTCTCTTTTCAGTGTTATTGTCCCTCCCTTAGTTGGCTCTTACGACACCCACGGGATGAATGGGGGTGGTGATACTCTGTATTCTTGATCCGTCACCACACGGACTAGTAGTAATTTAACAGAAATGTAAAAATAACACGTTTATGTAGTTCTTTCTAGAACAAGTAGTACAAACTTTGCTTAATTTGGGTCAAAGTAGCGATGTCTGATATATAATATAATTATTATTCCAGACCACAGAGTTCTAGAACCGGTAGATACAGAAGTATACCTTGGTCCTACACTATATATGTACACAATTTGTATAATATCTTTTACTGTATATTTTACTATCCTAATTGTGTCCGTGTAGTGACGGATTAAGAATACGGAATGTCACTACCCCAATTTATCCCGTGGGTGTCGTAAGAGCCGACTAAGGACAACTTGACACAAACCCTATATTAACCCGGCTGGCCAGCTTTCTAAGGAGAGGCCTATGTCCAGCAGTGGACTATTAAAGGCTGTTGATGATGATGATGATGATCCTAATTAATGTCGGTATTTGTTTAATTTTTATGCCTTTCTGTGTAGATTCCTACGTACGCATGACTGTGCCCTTACGTTTGTCTGTTGTCCTCTATTCGCTCAAGGTTTGCTGGAAGAAAACTCAGTTTAGGGTTAGGGTCGCCTTTGACATGACATTTCCTTGTTACTTATATATATGTATGTGTTCAGTGTGTACAATAAAGAATAAAAAAAATAGAAATAGAAACTGTAGTAATATACAACTTTATAGTTGAGTTGTCAGATCTTCACATGAAGTCCAAAAAATATTCAAAAATTCAAAAGATTTAAACTAAGCTTTTGACCAGCTTATGTGTGTATTTGCCGCATTATCGAAGTGTAAATAACAGTTAAATCTCTTTTATCTCCCTACTTCAGACTCACAGTAAACAGACCTTGTCTGCCCTTGACACCACGACTGTTTAAAATTACGACTGCACTCGTGTAGTTTATTTTTGTCTAAAAATATCGCAAAGCTTATCACAAAGCTGTACTTATATATAAAAAATGTGACTGTTTGAAATAAAATGAGAAAATTCTTGCTCAAATCTTTTGCACATGGATCTTATCCCCTTGAAACCTGTAAGGGGGTACTTTACACTAGGAATATATCCTGTGTCGCGGGAGACTTTACAAACATTCATGAAATAGACACAAAGAACACCCAGAATTAGAACAACAATTTCTGGATCACACAAAGGGTTGTCGGATGTGGGGTTCGAAACAACCACTCTCAGCGCAGTAGGAAATGGCGAGGTGTCAAGATTAGTCCGATTTTGTAAATGGTTTTGTTAATTTGTGAATTATTTCAGAATATGGTCAAAGCAGAAGCCTATTGGTGTGCAGTCACCCAAGGCCCACTCTGCTGCTTCTTCAGAACGAGGATCCGTGACTGGAAGGTAGTGTAGCATTTTTTATAGTAGATGTAATAAAAATATATCATTATTTCCGGGTATCGTTTGCTGTTATAAGTGGTCAGTCTTTTCTTAAATTTCTTTTACACAACCCATTTCTGCCATTGACAGGTCGAGGCACCAAGCACAAATGAAGTTGGGATCACTAGAGCGAAAGAAAAGAAGATTCTCCAAGAATACTGACCAGTCCTCGGAGACCGGGGACTCTAACGATGACCTTCTAATCCTGAACCGCTCTCTAGCCATCAAGGTGTGCTCCCCGAACGATGACTTCGAATACTTCAACTCGAATCGCTCTTCAAATGAATATCCCAACGAGTCTTACTATGGTGACCCTTATTACACTCCACGCAAAGCCAAGCCGAAGACAGAAGATTACATGAACGACAAACACAGAGAAATTATAAACTCTGAAATAACCACATTTCAATTTACTTTAATTATAACGGATTTATTACAAGAGCTCTGTAAAGCAGAAAGTAGTTTTTCCGGCTCAGAAGGATCCCAAATTTCCATGCAGTGTATTAATTTCTCTTTAAGAAATCTATGTTCATTACAATTTACATCAGTGCCTCAATCCCAAAAGGACATGACCCAAGAAGTTTCTAGAACCAAAGTGGCCCTAACTGAACTGCTCATGGTGTCTCTAGATCAAGTTTTGATACATTCGGACCTCTGTGCCAAACTCATCAATAACGGGATCTTACCAATGTTGCTAAGAATTTTAGAAGATGTTATATCAAAATGCAAATTGAATAAACTCGCGCAAAAGAGTCGCAAAGACGATAAGACTGAATCAGAAAACTTGCTCAAATTTGTTTTCGGGATCGCTTACTCGATCACAGCCTTCTTCCACTGCTTGTTAATGCAATGCAGGAGCGTGGAAAAACTCCGGGAATTCACCGATCAGTTCAAACTCTACGGGGAATGTCTCAAAGGGGGTTTGTTAAAAGAAACCATAGAATTAATGATAAGAATACCGGTTGGTGATCAGGAAGAGACGGTGGTGTTGATCAAGAAGCTTATAGAAACTATCGGAAAGTTAATAGTGGGTATGAAGAGGGTTCGAAGCGAGGTTATACATTCCGCGGCGTGCCCGAGGAGTAGGCACAAAGTGTGTAGACAGAGAGTTGCCGCGGGCATGCACCATCACCACGACATCCTTGGCGAGGCCAGCACTGGTCTACCGATGGCTTCAGCTTGTTGCGTATCAGTGTTATATGGTACTCTAACCGCACTACTTACCGATGACGTAGTTTCCGCCGAGGGTGTGTTAAGGAGTAAGGTATTGAAGGTCATGCTGAATTCGGGCGTATGCTGTTGCTTTTCGCCAGGGTTTTTGATGGAGAGTATCGTGAGATTGATGTTGACTCACAGCAGTGTTGCGTCTTTATGCCTTCAAGTCTTAGAACACACTGTATATGGGGAATTAGGCGCAAGTATATTAATAGGCAAAGCGACGGATGTGTTGCCCTGTTCGATATGTGAGCCCTGTGATGAAAAGAAGGATGTCGGGAGAAAGTACTGTTCTCACGGGATCTCTCCTATCGAAAGGCAGAGCGTCGGTTCTTTTCTTTATCATTATAACTCTTTGCTGCAACTGGATAATCACAATAACGTCCTGCATGCAACAGTCAGCCATCTTCTGCGAGTGACACCAAAATGTCGGATGGAAATGAAGTGTGAACTGCTGTTTGCTGTTATCTACCCCACTTTCATCGTTGCTAAACACAGATATATAATCCGAACAGAAGAGTCAGCATATTTTTTAACAGTATCCTGTCTAAACATATTTGCAAGTCTGCTCAATACTGTGCCCTTTGCCGAACAGTTCATACAAAAAGGCGGTCTCAGTTATGTACTAGAATTGGTCTCGTTATCCGAGTTTTCCAATCAATGTTGTTCTATATTAGAAATTGCAATCACCGTCGAGATATTTAAGCTGATGAAGGAGAATTCAGAAATGACTTACTTCAGAGAAATGAGTTCTCTAGCTTCCATCCAAATGCTGTTCAAATCTCTAAAAGAAATGATTGACAAATGTCACAAAATCTACAAGTTGAAGTTGCCCGCCGATAAATACGAAGAGTTGTGCGACGTCACAAAAGAACGTGATATGTTAGCGTTTATGCCACCGGAGACGCAAACGAAAAAACCCTCTTCTCCTCAAACAATAAAGACTACTTTCGTCCAAGAGACTGCTATAGATGAGTCGATTGAAGATCATATAGAGGTTTTGAAGAATGTGTGGACGTTTTGGAAAACGTGTGCGAGTTTGTGTTTGTACAGCCCGATGTTCAGGGAGTACGTGGTGGGGGATGGGGTGTTCATAGACAGTTACGCACTGCTGAAGGTGCTCGTGCACTACGTGTGCAACTGCGAGTGCGGCGCGGCCGAGATGAGGGTGCTCATCAAAATTACTGAAGCGCTGCTCACCGTGCAGCTCTCTGTGTCTGGTAAGTGGAGATCAGAGATTATTATTATTATAAAAAATAATTCAATTATATATCTAAGACACTAAACATCTAGAAGATAGACTGTTTAAATTGATTTTCTTATTTTGATGTGCAACATCTAATGCGGTGAGTGAAAACGGCTGTTCGACGCGACGCGATGTGACAGCAGTATATGTAACATGTAATGCGGTGTGGCGACGCGTCGCCATGCGCAAGTGACTAATACTCTCACGCGGATTTATCAAAATACAATTATTTTTTAAAATAATTTCGATCTTTTACAGCTAGGCGTCCCGCGACGACTCAACTGTTTTTTTGGTTCTTATTTAAACGTGTCTCTCTTTCCAAATTTATTTGCGGTCGGCGCAATCTTTTCCCTTTTTCCTTTCTTCGTTACTACCACATACCAGGTATATTCCATTTCTTTACGGAATTGTTTGTTTCGGCACTGACGAACTAATTTGAAACCCGATGGGAGACCTTTTTTAAGAGGGCCTCAATTCTGCTATTTGATTATTGTATCAATAGACTGTCGATGGAATGTCATTGGAATAGTTTTACACTTCTCACTCTTATTATACTAACTATGTAAGACCAATGGCCGATGACTTGTCACTGATACAAATGTCGTCGATGTCTTTGTAATAGTTTGATAAACGGTACATTTTAAATTTGTAAGAAAATTATATATTTCATTTTCCAGGCATGGCAATGTTGTTGATACCACTATTGAAGACCTGTATTACTATATCGACAGTCTATTGACACTGTGAATTTATGTTAGTAGAAAATTAATATTTTGACCGATGTCAAAGGCGTCTCAATGGCATCGCATGTCAATTGGAATGACAGCGACTTGGCGTTAACATAAAATAGCAGAATTGAGGCCCAGGTCTCACTCAATTAGTCAGAATTGAAAGTAGTCCAGCATACACATGAGAGTAACACCGTTTACCCTTTCCAAATAATTTAATTAGCTAAAAACTCGTTGTGACGTCATCGCCGGTACTGGTCATTATTCAAGCGCAGCTGATCCTTCTGATCACATAACTTTATTAGTGTTAACTAGTTCCGACGTTGCAATCCGACACTTCAAGCTCAAGAGCAGAAGCCCTATAGAATTACTTTCAATAGTACCGACTACTAGATAATTTTATACTCTAAGCAATAGAGAATAGGTTGCAATTTAGATTGGACAGATTCTTCTTGGAGTTAGTCATCTTTTGAGGTTACTACACACTCTGAGTTGAAAATCGAATAGTTGGATATAATTAGCGTTGGATATTACTTTCACAGAGTAAGAGCCGACTAAGGGAAAAAACTACGCAGAACACTGCAGACAACACTACTGCAGAGAGAAGGAAAAACTTGACACAAACCCTATACCAACCCGTCTGGCCAGCGTGGTATAGTAGGCCAAAACCTCCTTTCTAAGGAGAGGCTTATGTCCAGCAGTGGACTATTAAAGGCTGTTGATGATGATGATGATGATGATTACTTTCACAGTAGATTAAATTACAAATATTACAGATATTAAATTATCAGTTTTATTTCAAAAAGTATCTGTCATGTAATTCTAAATTTGTTTTTAAAAATAGAAAACATTTGATTAGATTGCTACGTTGCGATGATCGCTTACTGTCAGGCGGGGCGAATGCTTATTTGCAACTTAATTCGTATAAATATAACATTCAGTGAACTTTTGATCACATTTTACCGCCCACATCACTGACTGATTTTAAATGGTAGTAAATTCCGAGATGTGATTGTATTTTTCGCAGTCTGTATACTTTACATATTCCCAACAGACGTAACATCAGGCCGTTCAAAGGAGACATCTTGCACCCTGGTGCGGGCGGCCCTCTGCTACGGGGAGTTCGCGCTGGAGGGGGGCGGGGGGCTTCGCGCGCTGTGCGAGGCGCTCATACGGGTGGCCGCCGCCAGGCCCAGCGCCACTCACGCCATGCCTCGTTTAACGCATGCCAAGGTAGGAACTTCAAAAACATCAATAACCTAAGAAACACTTTTATTTATGCATTTAAAACAAACAATACTTCCTGGTCACCTTTCCACATTTATGTCTAACCTGATCACCCCTGTCTTCTTTCTTCTTCCTTGGTCTTTTTGATGTGTATAGTGACAAACAATCCCGTGACCTGTCTGGTCTGTAAACTAAATTTCACACTTTCGATAATTAATGCTAATAGATCGCAAACTTTGAATTTGGGGTGAAGATAAGTGAAAATATACAGTTTAATAATAATATTGATAAATTTATTTCAAATAAGGTTGTACAATAACACACTTATATAATAATAATATTGTACCACATTCACATAACGCCATTTAGTCCCAAACTAAGCTGAGCTTGTTCTATGGGTACCAGACAACTGATATAAATACATATATACTTTTTTTGTAAAAACACACATATTATACATAGAAACACCCAGACCAAATCAAAATCAAATGTTCATGCACACAAAGGTTTGACTTGAGCGGGAATCGAACCCGCGACCTTTGGAATAGTAGTCCGTTACACAAACCTCTACGCCATCCAGTCGTCTAATGTCGTCGTTATATGGGCATAAAAAATGTGTACAAACAGAAAAATAAATAAAAATCAAACATGGTAGTGTCAATGGATACTCTGGTACCCATGGTAAGATCGAACTTGTGTTACGGGTACCAGGGCTCTCTCAGCTTACACACTTATTAAATGCTCATAGGGTAGATCTTCTTTGGACGGAGATATAATAATAGTTTAAAAGCGTTAATAAGTTTTAACACCGTACAATTCATTTGTATCGCTTCACAAAATACAATGTTTGTGAGATAGTGACCGTCTTGCTGGAATCATGTATGGTTAGTCAAACGACCCCATTCTTGCAGTATATTTTTTATGAAAAAACAATCCTACACGCATATATATGTACTTTTGACAATATTGCTCTGTGCTTTCCCTTGTGTACAGCACGGTCTCTATCACGCTAGGGTCACGATGATTATGCCTAATGAAAGTACCACACATATACAATCGAGAGGTTGTTTACGCCTTATCTCTCATTCCGGTTTACGTAATATATTAAGGTCGAGGTATACAGCGGACGGGGCGGGACGACAATGCGGCTTGAGCATGTTGTAATGTACTAGTTAATTTAAAAGATTTCCACAGCCCCGTCGCACTCGAAGGCTCAACCGCTCACGCTGCGTTGCCCCGTCCGCTGTCTGTCCCAACTCTTAGGATTATTTTTTATATTAGACAGTTTTTTTTTCTCGTTTAATTTTAACATATTAATAAAGACTGACATCTTTGTTTTTGTGAAATACCTATGTAAGTAGTAATTTAAAAAAAAATGCTTTTAACCTATTGTTTATCAATTTAAATGTCAGCACTATAGTTCCAGGGAAGTAAAAAAATAATAAAAGAAATAAAGATGTACTAATAAACACACATACGCTTGTATCCCTGTATTTAATTGTCTATTTAATTCCCACATTTGCCAACCATGTGTAAAAACACACCTTAGCACTTTGGCCATGAAAGTATATTGAATGCGATTATAGGTAATTATGGAGTTTTCTAGAATATACAGAGGAAACATATTTATAAGGCGCCTTTGGGTGATGCATATTCCACTATTCGATGGAAACTTCTACCACTTGAATCATCTTTGTTTACGATATCGGTGCCTCGTTTTACGGAACTTGTTTAACACGCATAGCATGTATTTTGTTATTATTACGTCGCTTACAAAATTCAAGCCTGGAACATCTATATTTTATAAAATTAAAAAAAAACCTTAAATACGTGTATGGGTATAGAAAACATTAGTACCTAAGTTATTATATTTTAGGTAATAATGTTTTCTAAAATATAACAAAAAATATTGTATGTAAGTGTTAAGTTAACTCACCATTAAATATCAAGTATATTAATAAATATAAAAAAAAAACCTTTTGCCATGGTGTATCAATGAATAATTTTTATATTTAACAAGCTTTTGTCCGCAGTCCCGCTCGCGTGTATGTCGGTTATTGCGTTTGAAATTAGTTTATAGTACTCAGGGATAATATACCTTTCTAACAGTGAAAGAATTTTCAAAATCGGATCAGTAGTACCGGTGATTACCTCGACCATACAAACTCACTAACTTTACCTTTTATAATATTAGTATAGACTACAACTGGAAATAAAATAAGTTGTCTAAAAACGAAAAAATAATTAGTTTTTTAAGTCCATTTATAAACAAATAAACCCACAGTTTTACTAGAAAGTCAAGGCTAATCTAATTAACATTAGAACAAATTAACAGTACACCTAATACCCCAAACGAAACCCCTCGTCAATTGCGACAGTCGCGACTCGATCTCAACTAATGGTGCTTAACGGAAACCGGAATAGCTCGATCACAGACCAGTCTTACACCAACGTTAGAACGTTGTAGTCCGATGTTTAGTGAGTCGGATACTGTCTGTGTTACACGTGAGAGTGATGATTAAAAAGTGAAGTGTGAGGAGACAAAACCAAGGATGTCTAAAAACAGTCATCAGTTAAAGCCATCAGGTATTCCATTTATAATTAAAGGTCTTGAAGCTTACCATCTTCTCACGTATTAGTCATATAAAAATGTAGATATTTTAATATGTATTATAATACTAGTGCTAATATAATAGAACTTAAAACCTTTCGTATTTAATCGTTTGTTTGAACTCTATGGAACCTCCAATCGAATTTGATTTTTTTTATTTGTTTGTAGGTTATAGGGTATACAATATTATGCTACGACTATTAGGAACCGAGCAGTATTTATAAACGTGGAGGAAACTGCAGAGAAAGGATATTTTAATTGCCATTTCGATTAACAGAATCGAAATAAAAGTTAATTTACAATAATAATGCTGAAAGTGCGGTAAAGCATCGTATTCCTTACAATTTTCGTGTTACTAAATATTCGTAAATGGTATTAATAGTAAATTAAAACATCATAAGAACCGGTCTTCTTATTTTAATTTAATATTTAAAAAGGTTAATGGTTATTTTATCAGTATTTCGCGTCAGTTTTGTTCCTCATTTCTCAGTTCTCACCAATGAAACCACAACGGGCTGCATGGCAGGGTACTGATAGTTGTTTATAAATCAGTCAAATAAGGATTAAGTATCAGGAACATTTTCGATTATTTTAAGTAAGAAGGATTAAAACTATGTGTTTTAATTAAAATAAATAAATAAATTGATTTCGGGTCAATGAAGTAGCATATCACGAATCGCGAAAGATCCTGGCCGTGGCCAGGTCGATTCTACGCCACTTTATACCAAATCCAAGTCCTATAAATGAAAAGACATCTTACGAAACCAGGTAACCATAAGTGTGGCAATGACGGTATTTTTCCTCCATATAGATAGATAGGTAGATAGATAACTCTTTATTTGCACACATTTTACAAGTATTATGGTACATAAAAATATCAGACATGTAATGTACAAAGGGCCTTAAAAGCCTTATTGTTAAAAGCAATCTCTTCCAGGCAACCTTAGAATGGATCAAAATGTTTTGGAGAGACAGTAGTAGTTGAAGGTGCAATGGTAAAATTAAATAAATATTTACACATAAACACATATACAATATACATACACATATACCTACATATATCCATATATCTTTCTTCTAATCATATGTAATTGTTTCAGTTATGAAAGGTTCATTGAATGTTAGTGTCATGCCATTAATAAAGTAATATGTACTGTCCACCGTTATCTCAACAGGACGGCTATTGCATAATAAAGAATTCATTATAAACGTCCGTAAAGCAGAGTTTGAGGGGCAGGGCCCATATGAATTTTCTTAAATTATTTTACCCATCATATTAGATGTACATATAAAGGCTCAATACAATATGCCAATTGATCTCCGTGTCCTGTATAGTGTCTCCCCAATCACAGTCTATCCGTTATTCTTACCTCAATTTGTCTTCTTCCTTTGTCCCGTTCGGAAACAATTACACCCAAAGAGGCGTGACGCACGCCAGGCGGCCGGTTCTAAGAAAATTCAACCAAAATACTTTACAATATTAAACGTAGAAGGTTGATTATTGCTACGAACCTTCCAAAGAGTTTTTCGTATACGAGTACGTCGTCGCCGGTAAGAGAGTTCAGTTTGCTCTAGAGAGCGAAAAAACTCGTAGTTATCTAAACGAACAGAGGAGTAACCCAGCGATCTTTGCGATCTCAGCGTCGCATCATCACACATCACATCAACAGCCTTTACCAGTCCACTGCTGGACATAGGCCTCTCCTTAGAAGGGAGGTTTTGGCCTACTATACCACGCTGGCCTGACGGGTTGTTATAGGGTTTGTTTCAAGTTTACCTTCTCTCTGCAGTGCTGTTGTCCTGCGTAGTTTGCTTCCTTAGTCGCCTCTTACGACACCCACGGGATGAATAGGGGTGGTGACACTATGTACTCTAAATCCGTCACCACACGGGCTCTCTCGGCGTATCTATCTGAAAATGAGGAATAGCAGAATCATAGGTGTCAAAGCTTCTATAATGCATTTACTCAGTGACCTGCAAGTCCCGCTCGCGTGAAGTTATGCGTCTTGAGTTATAAGATCAATGTTGGTGCAACATATCGGGTGTCTATGCGGTGTTAGTAAACCACAATACTGTGTAGATGTCACACAGAGTAATACATCACTATTAAGAAAGAAATAAATTATTTATTTTAATGTTTGTACGCAGTATTTTTTTCTAAACAAGTTGTTTGACTAATAAATGTATTAGTGAGTGTAGCCTAGAAAAAAACAGGTTATTGGACTGATTGTCTCATTCTTCTTACAAATCTCAATTTGGTTTTTTCTATTTTAGTTAGGTATAGTTTTTGTTATAAGCTCTACCACCTATCATTAAAGGAGAGTTTCGTTTCTTATTATTGGAACTAAATTTGATTTACAATTAACCTTCCGAATTTTTACTTACTTTAGTAGAA